ACTAGGGATGGAACTCAGGGGTGCTGTACCACTCAGCTACATCTCCAGCCCTTTTTTTTTAAAAAACCAAAATTTTCATTTTAATTAAAACAAAAAGAACAAAAGAAAATACCATATAGTGATTGACACAGTGATCTGGCCATAATCTCTTTTTAATTTTTGATTTCCCATTCGGGTTAATAAAAAGATCCCTGCCAATTTATATCAAAATATTGAGGCATATCCCAGCCCTATTTTGTATTTTATTTAGAGACGGGGTCTCACTGAGTTGCTTAGCACCTCACTCTTCTGAGGCTGGCTTTGAACCTGCGATCCTCCTGCCTCAGCCTCCAGAGATGCTGGGATTAGAGGCGTGCGCCACCTCATCCAGCAAAATATACTATGTTCTAAAACCATGGAATGGAATTGCCAATAAAGGAATTGAATTTCAAAATAAAAATAGTTTTATTCTCTCTTTTCATATATATACATGTATACACACATGAACATATTAAATATGACAAAAACCAGCCCTTTTTTAATTTGTAATTTTGAGACATGTTCTCTAAATTGCCCAGACCAGCTTTGAACTTGTAATCCTCCTGCCTTAGCCTCCCAAGCAGCTGGGATTATAGGCATCCTCTATAGCGCCTAGCTAAAGTGAGATTTTATTTATGTAAAGAGCTGAACACTGTTCCTGGTCCATAATATGTGTTATCCATTAAAAAAATAGTATTTAATTTTCAGGGCTCTGGTGTGTGAGGAAGATGCCTAGGAGATAGCTATTCCTGCTGCCACCTCTGCCCACGACAGACTGCACCTCAGTGTGAAAGGCCTCTGTGGAGGGTGATGTGGGTCCACTTTAACCTGAGTGAACCAAGCCTTACCTGCTTAGATCAAAGATTCACAGCACTCAATTTCAAATGAGCCAATCACATACTTTATTACCCTTCATTCCCAAACACTCTTCAAGCCTTCCAGGGAGAAAAAAAAAGGCAAAGCTGAAAGATGCACAAGCTCATTAGCATCACAGAAATGCAAGCAAAAACCAAAATGAATTGCCATTTTACACCCAACCATCTGACTGTGCCAAGGGTTGGCAAGGATGTGAAGTGAAGGAACTCTTATACACGGCTGAGAATGCAAATTGGCACAATTTATAAAACCATTTGGCAATATGTAGTAAAACTGAAGATGCATGCACCCTGACTCAGCAGTCCACTCCCAGGTTTGCACCTGCAAAAACCCTCCCACATACACACAGGAATCTTGTACAAAAATGTTCAAATCAGCACTGTTTGTAAAAAGCAAAAAACTTAAATGTCTAACAACAGGAAAATGGATAAATAAATTGTAGCATATTCCTAAAATGGAATATATTTTTTAATATTTACTTTTTAGTTGTAGTTGGACACAATATCTATATTTTATTTATTTATATTTATGGGGTGCTGAGGATCAAACACAGGGCCTCACATGTGCTAGGTGAGCATTCTACCACTGAGCCACAACCCCAACCCCTAAAATGGAATATTTTTAAGCAATGGAAATGAATAGACTGCTCAGCACATGGATGGATCTTATTAATATGGTAAGTGAAAAAAAGCAAGTTGCATAGGAATATATACATTTTAATACCACTCAAATAAAGTGCAAATTACCACTATAGATTGTGTGGGGATATGTGCACGTGTAGTTTATGCTTATAGAATACTAAGAAATATTAAATTTTCATTTGAAGTGACTAATTCAGGTGCTGAAGTAGGGGAAGAGAAGTGATTGGGGAAGATTCCAGAGGGAGCTTCAATTTCTTTCTTTTTAATTTTTTTTTTTTGTAGCTATAAATGGACAGAATGCCTTTGTTTATTTTTATGTGGTGCTGAGGATCAAACCCAGTAAGCTACAGCCCCAGCCCCAATTTATTTCTTATTCTTTATTTCTGGGTAGGAAAGGATAGATGTATTTGTAGTATAATTCTTCGAGCATGAAATAATTCTTCAAATATGCAATATTTCATAATAATTTTTTTAAAAAGATGAAACAGTGCAATTGGTCATGATTTAAGGCACTCCATTTCTCCTGAGTTCCAGTTCTGGGAACTAAGAGTTCTTCTTCCAACTAGATCACTTTGGTGGGCTACAAAAAGAAAAAGATTTGGATGCTGTTTCCTCGTTTCTTTGCAAATCTGAGAAGTGAGCATGGAAGCTCTTACAAATCTTCAGTTCAGGGCATGGGAACCTGACAGCCAGGGTTTGCCCCAGAACTCACTATGACGTCAACTCTCTCTAGGGAGAAGTAAATAAAATAAAAAGTTAAAATCCCCCCATAAGGATTTGACCTAATCCTCTTCCTCAGAAGAAATCTATATTGCCAGTATGCTTCCAGACATTTCTCTATGTATATTCAAATAAACAAATAGACACATAAAGTTTTTTAATGTGAGGAAATATGAAATATTATATAAATAATATAAATGTATTCCATGAATGGAAGTAAATAATAGATGGAATTATACTATCCATACTTTTCCACACTTCCTTTTTTATTATCAAGGTCTCATGGATCCTTCCACAGCAATACAATTGCTCATAATGACCTGCCAACTTCTTCCACAGCAGCAGAGTATTCAACTATAGTGATGTACCATAAGTTATTGTTTAAATTTTTATTTATTTATTTATTGCAGTACTGGGATTGAACCCAGAAGCACTCTACCACTGAGCTACATTCCAGGTCCTTTTAATTTTTATTTTTTAGATAGGGTCTCACTAAATTGCTTAGGTTCTCACTAAATTGTTGAGACCGGCCTCAAACTTGCAATCCTCCTGCCTCAGCCTCCTGAGTTGCTGGGATTACAAGCCTTCACCACCATGCCCTGCTAAATTTTTATTTTTTCAGTTTTCGGCAGACACAACATCTTTTTTTTTTTTTAAAGAAAGAGGGGGAGGAGGAGAGGAGAGAGGAGAGAGAGAGAGAGAGAGAATTTTTTTAATATTTATTTTTTAGTTCTCGGCGGACACAACATCTTTGTTTGTATGTGGTGCTGAGGATGGAACCCGGGCCGCACGCATGCCAGGCGAGCGCGCTACCGCTTGAGCCACATCCCCAGCCCAGACACAACATCTTTATTTGTATGTGATGCTGAGGACCGAACCCGGCGCCACACGCAGGCAAACACGCTACCGCTTGAGCCATATCCCCAGCCCAAAATTTTTATTTTTAATTAATTAATAAATATATAGGAACATTCTAGATGTAAATGTAAACATTTCAAAGAATACAGATAGAGTAATAAAAACCTTCACAAAATAGAGTGATAAAGGCTTTCACAAGATGGCTCACTCCCCTCTGCATATGCGCACACACACTTATATATACTTTTAATCCTAGGCCCCTCCCTGGAGATAAACCATTGCTGTTATCAGATATACATCCTTCCAGATTCATTGACTCCCGTTAACAGGCTGCTTGAAGGTTGTGTGTGTGGTTGGCATATAAATGGTTCTAAATTGTACCTAATGTTCTGCACTTATTCATGGAGATCCAAGCCCATCATAACTATCTCATTCATTCATTCATTTAACTGATATTTATTATGTGATGTTTGCAATTCTAGAAACAGTATGGAACAAGATAGCCTCTATCCTCATTGATATAATCCTGGTGGACATTCAGACAATAAACGTGTAAATAAGTAATATAATTTCAGGTAGTGCTAAGTAATATGATTAAAATAAAGTGGGGATTGGTTAAAGGTTTTTCAATCTAGGGCATACTCTCCACAGTATGAATAATCATATTTTGGGGAGTGACTTTCAAACTTCTCTACTTGCTTCCTAGAGTAAGGACTACATTTCACAGTGCTATCCAAAACCCATAATAGAAACATACACATACAAAACCAAAACACTCATACTGTGCAATAGTATTTCATGATATAATGCTTACTCAGGGTGATGCATTGACATTTTTATTCTGTTCTATTTCATTTTTTAAAAACATGTTAATCATGACCCGCTAAATTGTTTTCATTGTACACTAATAGTTTATGACCTCGGTTTGAAAATATTGCTTTATGTAACCAACCCTGTCCTGAGATTTACATAGATTGTTCATAATGCTTTCCTATTACAAAGAATGAGGGTTTTTTTTGTTTGTTGGTTGGTTGGTTTTTTGGTTTGTTTTTGTTTGTTTGTTTGTTTGTTTTGTACTAAGGATGGAACTCAGGGTCACTCAACCACTGAGCCACATCCCCAGCCCTATTTTGTATTTATTTAGAGACAGGGTCTCACTGAGTTGCTTAGCGCCTCGCTGTTGCTGAGGCTGGCTTTGAACTCTCCATCCTCCTGTCTCAGCCTCCCCAGCCGCTGGGATTACAGGTGTGTGCCCACCGCGCCCAGCTCAAACAATGAGCTCTTTTATGCACAATTTGTGACTATTTCTTACAGCAAGATCCCTGATTGTGTAATTGCTACATACTTAAAATTCTGATGAAGTGTAGGCGAATACCCTAGAAAACTAAATTCTAATCCTGGGTCTGTCACCACCATGATGTACAAACTTTGGGCAAATCCCTATCCTCCCAGGGCCTCAATTTCCCTATCCGTAACCTGCTGATCTCTACACCCTGGAGTCCGCTGTAAGTTGAAAGCAGATGCCCCACCCACCACTTGACTCAGCGCGGGCGGAACTTCTCAGCAAGCCCTTCTCCCCCTTTTCCGCTCCCTGGGAAGCAGCCCTAGGCTAAGGGAAAAGGCAGGTCTAGGCAGTAGGGCGCAATGCTGGGCGGGGACGAGGGAGGGCAAAGGGAGGCCGGCCCCCTAGTAGGAAATGAGGCAGAGTAGGAATAACACTTTAAAAGCCTAACACCCTCTTCCTCCTGACATTCCCTGGCCTCTTTCCATCCTCTGCTGAACCTCTGCCTGTTCCCAGACAGCCTCACTTCTTTCCCCCCAGCTGCAGCCAGCGGAACCCCCAGCCTGACCCCGACGGGAGCCCAGGGGGGGATCAAGAACTTCAGGATGCTGACAACATTGCTGCCGCTACTACTGCTGCCTGGCTGGGTCTTTTGTAGCCAGGAAGCCTCACAGGGTGAGTTGGGGGCATGTCTCCTGCCTGGCTTGGTTCTGGAGACTCTCAGTCTATCTGGGTACCTGGAAAAGACTAGAGGGGATCTAATCCCACAGCATCTATGTCTGCAGCCGGCTGGATCTCTCTAGAGAGGCAAGGTCCAGGGCACTGTTTTGTGTCCCAAAGACTTAACTGAAGTACAGTTAAGTCTCTGGGAAGGAGGAACTGGAAAAGCCTTGGGGAAATCAGAGGACTGGAAAAATAGGAACGGGACTGGTAGAGGGTGAAGGAACCAGCATCAGAGGGAGGGAGAAATGATGTGAAGCCTGCAGAGGGAGAGCTGAGGGTGACAGAGATAAGGAAAAGTCTAGGGAAGATGGGAAGAGATAAGAAGAGCAATGGAAAAAAAAAAAAAAAAAAAAAGAAGAGCAATGGAGGGAATGGGACAACACTGGGAGAACTGACAGGCTGAGACAGGTGGGGCAGAAACCAAGACTAAAGATGATGGAGGAAGACTGGATGCAACTGATAAGGTAGAATTGGGGTGGGTGGTAGAAGCTGTGATCAATAGGAGAGCTCATAGATATCAGGCTGCTCAAAGTGGCCCCATTTCAGCAGAAGAGGGGAGTTTTTGCCCTGTATTATAATTACACAGGAGCTCCTCTCTCCTCTCCCACAATCCCTATAGTTTCAGTCACCCCCTCAGAGAAGAAGCAGATAATAATCAGTATTCAAAGAACGTCTGCTGCTTAATACATGTACTGATTCCTTTAGCCCCCATAGTATCCCACAAAGTGGGTGATATTCTATGCATTTTACAGAGAAGGAAACTGGGCCACAGAGAAGTTAAGGACCATGTCTAAAGTTACTCACACAGAGACATTTATTCACACCTGCAGACACAGGGCACAACTTCTCAAATGCAAATGCAGACAAAACACATACACTAATTTCAAACCCACACTCATTCAAAAATTCTCTTGGCATCAACTCTGTGCCAGGCCCCTTTCTGGGTGCAGGAGACTCTCAGAGATAACCAGACTCATATGGTTCTAGTTATGGCTCCATAGCCTGGAGGAGTCCACTGAAGACAGTGTGTGTTTGGAGACTTCCACTTGGAATCCTAGAAATACATGCTAGCACAAAATGGTCTAGGACCCTGAAACAGATCCACGTGTCTGGGAGGATAAAAATGAGAGGGCAACTGAGCCAGATCTTCAAACATCAAGAGAAATTTGCCAGGCAGAACAACGGAGGCAGAGCAACTCTGACATGGTATTCACATGTCAACCAAAAGCATGAGGAACAGAAATAGTTTGATATATCTAAGTTCTGGGAAGAGACCAGAAAATGCAGCTAGGACCAGGTCACTGGACTTGTTCCTGTGGACAGGTATCTATGGGGAGGCAACACAGCAGACTGACTTTAGTTCTGCTATACCATCTTAGCCTGCCTTCCATATACACTAGGGTTAATAACAGTAGCTACTCCATTAACTCCTCGGGGGAAGTCACAAATAAGATAATAATAAGTGTAAAGCACAGTATCCAGGTCCTAATAATCACTTAATGGATATTAAACTATGATTATTTTTTATTATGAGGGGGAGGGATGTATCATTGGAGAACTGTGTGTGTGGGAGCATGCTGGGGATTGAACCCAGGGCTTTGTGCATGCAAGGCAAGCACTCTACCAACTGAGTTATATCCCCATCCCTCACTGGAGGCCTTTGAGACCGACTAGCTCTAATCCCTGGGTCAGGTGGAGGTCCAATCAGAAGGAATAAAACTAAGAAATGAGTGCAGGAGGATGAGGTAAGAAATTACTACCTGAGTCCAGATTAGAATTGAAGAGGCCTGAACTAGGGCAGAGACATAGGAGACAGGTAACAGGAGATCGAATTGGGATTTTATTGTAGGTCAGGGTTTGATGACCAACCAAAAATGGGGAGAGGGAGTAGAGAAAGGAAACCAAAGAAGGGTGTGTCTCTCAGCTGCAGGCCTCAGTTTCCTCATCTGTTAAGTGAAGATAATAATCCCTGTCTTGTTTTCCTGGCTGGGTTATTGTCAGCATCAAAAACTGGGCACTTTATAGGGTCAAGTAGGTGGGCAGCCGGCCTTTGAGTAGGGAGTTATTATCTCCTGCTGCCAGCCGCCAGCTCCAACGCCAGTGTCCCTGACGCGCTGACGCTGCCCCCAGGCCCACAGAGCCTCCACATGCTCCAGATCTCCTACTTCCGTGACCCCTATCACGTGTGGTACCGGGGCAACGCGTCGCTGGGTGGACAGCTGACACACACGCTGGAAGGCCCGGGCAACAACGTCACGATCCTCCAACTGCAGCCTTTGGAGAATTCCGAGAGCTGGGCGCGCACGAAAAGCAGCCTGCAGCTCTACCTGAGCCAGTTTCATGGCCTCGTGCAACTGGTGCATCGGGAACGGGAGCAAGGCGTGACCTGTAAGTAGGGGGACGCGCCCGGGGCGGGGCCTGAGAGCGGCTGGCGGGAGGCCTCTACGGGAAGGGGAGGCGGGGCCTGAGGGAATTGGGGTGGGTCTTCGAGGGAAGGGCCGTATTCTAGGGAGGGGATCTTGCTGGTGGGCGTGGGCAAGTGGGCGGAGCTGCTTTGGGTCCTGGGTGGCATCCTGAGCCCAGGGAGATTACTGGGTGGGAGCTGGAGGCTGGAGAGGAGCCCGTGTTCTAGCTAAGAGAGCGCCTCATCAGACCCTCTTTTGGCTGGTGTGACCTCTTGGGGTGAACCCTGTTGGGAGGCAGTGTCCCTGACCCACCCTGGCCCCGGAAGTATCACTGACAACTCCCCATTCCTTGCCTCCCAGTCCTCTTTTTTCCTTCACAGACCCCCCACCCTTCCCTTCACACAACCCCAACCTTTCCTCCTTTACTCTCCAGCCACCCATCTTCACAAACGCTGATGACTTTGCTTACGTGTCCCCCACAAACCTCCAAACCCTCCCCCTCAAATACCCCAATTTCTTCTCTGGAAGCTTCCACTCCCATTCCTCAAAGTCCCAACTTCTTTCTCTAATAGTCCCCCTTTTCTTCATAGTCCCCGGCCCCTCCTTACACAGCCTCTAGCAGTCTAACTCCAGACCCCTCCCATCTCCTCACAGCGTCCCCCACACCAGTCTTTTTCTCCCTACAGCCCCCTACCATGTCCTCTTCCCCATGGTGGACAGCCCCCAGCATCTGGCTCCCTCTCCACACACAGCACCCTGACCCTGAGTCCCTCTCTGCAGTTCCTCTCATTGTCACCTGCTTCCTGGGCTGTGAGCTGCCTCCCGAGCAGGATTCAAAGGCCCGAGTCTTCTTTGAAGTGGCTGTGAATGGAAGCTCCTTTGTGATTTTTAAGCCAGAGAAAGCCCTGTGGGTGGCAGCCCCCCAGGAACCCTCCAGAGTGGTCACCTTTACCCTGAAGCAGCTCAATGCCTACAATCGCACTCGATATGAACTGCAGGAATTCCTACAGGATACCTGTGTACAGTATGTGCAGCAACACAAACAGATCTCAACAGATAATTCCAAAGGTACCAGGGTACTGGGCTGGTCCTGTATTGGGGAGGGGGCAGGTTCCCATCAAACTGATGGTACTGAAGGATGGATACCTTGAACAAGAGGCCTTGGGGCTGGTGGTAGGGGACAGAGCACACACAGCTTACATCACAGAGTGAACTGGTGGCCCCTTTACTTTGGGACAGAAATCCCTTGAGGTTTAACTCAACCCATGGACTCCTGGGGCAGGGTGCATTCTTAAGCTAATTCTCTGCATATTCTGCAGGGAGTCAAAGAGGCCGCTCCTACACTTCACTGGTCCTGGGTGTCCTGGTGGGCAGTTTCATCATTGCTGGCGTGGCTGTGGGCATCTTCCTATGCACAGGTGGACGGCGATGTTAATTACTCTCCAACTGCCTCTGAGAAAGAAATAGATTGATGAGGACTGGCAAGAGAAGGTTTCAGTCACATGAAGTCAGACAGACTCTCCAACTGGGACACAATATCCCAGAAGGTTTGGAGTGACAGTTTCTTTCTTCTCTAAGATCTGTCCACCAAGGGACATGGAGAGGCTAGGGAGATAAAGTACTTGGTTTGTTAAGAACCTTAGAAGTGCTGAAGAGAAGGGGGTGGCAGGGAAAGAACCTAACAACTTTCCGCGTCATTGAATTGGTCTGAAAAATGAGTGCTTATCTATCTTTGTGGAAAACAGATGATGGAGTTGGGGCAGGGAGTGTCTATGGCCCATCCTCCAAAGAGAGATAGAATTGCCTGAGGTATTCAAAACATGCAACCAAATAAAACAAGTTGTCCACAACCAAAATAAATAACATTCAATGTCTCCAGGTGTGTCCGACTTGGGAAGGGACATTGGTATGAAAGGAGTAGAAGAAAATAACCAGAAAAATGGTGGAAGTGTAAAATCCAAGTAATATGGAAACAATGAGTTATTAATTAATCAATTAAATAATATTAATAAATTTCTTGCTTGTGTATAAGACATAATTTCCCCCCTATTTTATAAAACTTCTGGAATAGTGGACCATATACCCTTGCTCCCACTTCCTTATCTCCCTCTCTTCAACCCACTTTGTATTCTGGCTTCTTCTATGAACTGCAGTAAGATCATTAGTAGCCTATAATTGTCAAATTCTCATTCTCCATGATATCTGCAACATTTAACTGTATGAATTAGAGACCTCCTTTTTTTACTTTAACTTAGAAGATACCACACTTCTAATTTATAAAAGCTGTTCTGGTCACTCTTTTTCAATCTCTTTGATGTTGTCATCTTACTCAATTCACTCTGGACAACGTTGGCTTCCTTAGAATGCCACTTTTTGACTCCGCTTGTTCACCTTAAAACTATACCCTTCCTGAGTGACCTCAAATGCCATCTATCTGTGGCTTCAAATACCATCTATCTGTGGTGTGGTTTCCATGGAAAAGCTATATTTTCTTTAGGAGCATGTGTTTTGTCATCAGACTTAAGGTTTTTGACCCAAGCATTTAACTTCTTCAAGTCTCAGTTTCTTCATTCATAAAAGGTATAATAAAATATACAGAAAGATTGTAAGAAAAATAATTCCTACCTCATAGAGGCATTGTAAGTATTAAATAATGTATGTAGCATATATATTGTTGATAAATATAGCAATGGCTATAGACCTTCAAACCTCCCATTTGCCCTGATTCTTGAAAATCATCTTTACCTTAATATTTTATAGGCATTTCAGAGTCAATGTATTTAAAATTAAATTTATTAACTTTTTGCCCAAACTTGTTCTCTTTCTCTCTCTTCTGCTGTTTACTGTTAGTAGGTAATATAATCAAATCATATAAATGTAGAGACCTCAGTGTTAACCTTTATTTACTCTCTCTTCTTTATCCCCATCTACAAAACCACAGAATCTGTAGAATCCATGCCCTCCTTTTCACCCCAGTGCTATTTTCTTTTAAATATTTATTTTTTAGTTGTACCTTTATTTTTACTTATTTATTTTTATGTGGTGCTGAGACTTGAACCCAGGGCCTCGTACATGCTAGGCAAGTGCTGTACCGCCAAGCCACAACCCCAGCCCCACCCCAGTGCTTTTGTTCAAGATATCATAATTCTGTCTCTGTGCCAGGCACAGGAGTGTGCCACCTGGTTCAACCTCCAATGAAGACTTGCTATTCACCCTCAGGGAGTATAGCCAGCAGGGTGCCTCCTGCTGCTTTGGTGTAGCTGCTTTGTAGCTGCCTCAGCTACAAAGAATAGTCCTGAAAGAGATCATGCCCATCCTGGGGCTGCCCTCATCTGGCGACTGAGCAAGGAAGGCATGGGTATAAAGGTTAGCCATTTGGGCCAACTGCAGGACAACTTTGATGAGCAGTATTCACTCCAGAGTTCTCTGCCAGGTTGGCTGGGTCTTTGTTGGATCTACAATGCAGTTTAAGCTTCTCCATCAGCTCAATCCTGCTCCTTGTCCTTGGAAAACATATTGTCTCTCAAACCCTCAGTTTCTGCTTCCAGTAAACTCAATGTGCTTATGCACGAGCGCACACAGGTGCATGGACCTCCCTCTTTCTCTTTATCTTTCCCTCTCCCTCTGTCTCTCAAAATTTTCTCAATATGTTGCCCAGACAATGTTGATACCCTCATCCTAGGTTTTCTCCTTGTCTCTAGTTTCTCTGTTCTAATGCATCTTTCACATGGCAACAAAAAAACACAGATCTGATGTCATTGAAAAAAAATTTCCCATGCTTATTGACTTAATTTCAAAATCCTCAAATGACATTCAATCCCTGGCATAATTGGGCCCCAACTCAATTTCTTAATTTTCTTTTATTTTTTAATATTTTTTTAGTTGTAGATGAACATAATACCTTTATTTAATTAATTTATTTTTTAGTGTGGCGCTAAGGATAGAACCCAGTGCCTCACACGTGCTAGGCAAGCGCTCTACCACTGAGCCACAACCCCATCCCCCACCCCCCAGTTTAATTTTATTTTCTACCATTTCACTTTACCCAAATGTGTTCTCAGTTATTTATTTATTTTTTAAAATATTTTATTTTTTAGTTATATTTGGACACAATACCTTTATTTTGTTTATTTATTTTTATGTGGTGCTAAGGATCGAACCCAGGGCCTTGCACGTGTTAGGCGAGTGCTCTATCTCTGAGCCACAACCCCAGACCCCTCAGTTATTTATTTTAAAAGCATATTTCTTTTTCTTTTTTTTTTTTTTTGGCACTGGGGAGATTGAACTCAGAGGCACTTGACCACTGAGCCACATCCCCAGCCCTATTTTGTATTTTATTTAGAGACAAGGTCTCACTGATTTCCTTAGTGCCTCACTAAGTTGCTAAAGCTGGCTTTGAACTCGTGATCCTCCTGTCTGAGCCTTCCGAGCCGTTGGGATTACAGGCATGAGCCACCGTGCCCAGCAAAAGCATATTTCTAAGTGGAAAAAATAATACAGCAGTAATGATACAGTTTACAAATAAAGAAGAAAAAAAAAAAAACGGAAAGTCCCCTATTTTCTGTTTCTCCTCAAATCCTTACCCCAGAAGTATGCTAAGACGCTTAGTTAAAAGCAACAGAAACCAACTTTACAAACTTAAGAGTAAATAAGTATTTTGAAAGGTTATCAAGTAATCCTCAGAGCTGATGGGAAGATCAGCTAATCAACCTCAGAAAATAGAATCAGGGATCACAACCATGCCACAAGACTAGTCTAGTTATCGATACTACAGCGGGAATCACTGCCTCCCTCACCAATGCCTGCTGCCATCTTAATGAGTTCTCCTCTGTCCCCTTTGCCTTCACATCATTTGTTAAAGATTCAAAGTCCTAAGTTGGAATGTCCAAATGACCACTCCTATATCATGTTGCCTGTGCCTTAGCAATAAGGTGGGGTGGAGAGTAACATTGGCTTCTCTTGTGGGAAGTGGGACCCTGTCTCCCATTAAGACTCACACAGAAAGCCTGGTGTTGGGGCACATACCTATAATGCCAGCACCTTGGGAGGTTGAAGCAGAAAGATCACAAATTTGAGGCCAGCCTTAGCAACTTAGCAAGGCCCTAAGCAATTTAATAAGACCCTGTCTCAAAATATAAAAACAGATGGGGATGTGACTCGGTGGTTAAGTGCCCCTGGGTGCAATCCCCAGCACCATAAAAAAAAAAAAAAGTTGTTGTGGGGACAGGAATGGTGTTGCACACTTGTAATCCCTGTGGCTCAGGAGGCTAAGGCAGGAGGCTCGTGTTCAAAGCCAGCCTCAGCAACTTAGTGAGACCCTGTCTCAAAATAAATAAAAAATAAGAGGATCTGGGGAATGTGGCTCAGTGGTTAAGTTCCCCAGATTTGATCTCTGATACCAAAAAAAAAAAAACAGGAGAGCACCCCTGAGTTCAATCTCCAGTAAAAATCAATCAATCAATCTTACACAGATAAAGATTCAATCTCCAGTAAAAATCAATCAATCAATCTTACACAGATAAAGAAGCTTCAAGTGCTGGGCAACCAAAAAACAACAACAAATAAAAACAAAACAGAGCTGGGGATATAGCTCAGTTGGTAGAGTGCTTGCCTTGTATGCACAAGGCCCTGGGTTCAATCCCCAGCATCACACACACAAACACAAAAAGTAAACAAACCTCTGAGTGTATTTACACTCCCATCAGTTGTGTATTTACACATTCAGTAAATGTTTATGAGTAACAAGTTTGTATTATGTATGTTGGAAACAAAATGATTAGGCTCTGGTCCTCAGGTACCTCATCTGGTGGTTCATCTGAGTTGGGAAGATAAAACATACAAATAAAAACAATACAAGGACAGGATGTCCTAATAGGATACAGGATCTAGGTTATACAGAAAAATATAATTTTTCTAATAACTGGAAAAAATGTACAAATAAAATGTTATGTTGTTATTTACTATTGTGGCTGTCATTTGCATATAGCTTCATAGTTTTGGGGTTTATCATTTAATGTTTTCTGAGATCTTGTGAGATACACACATTCTTCTCACTTTATATTAGGAAATATGCTTACTGAGAATAAGCAAAGTAAGTGGCAGAGCCAGGATTTAAACCCTTTCTTTGTCTTCTATGATTTATGCTTTCTTTCTTTCATCTTCAACCCCTCTTCCTTTCTCAAAAAACTGAAGAATTCTGGAGAGAAAAGGAGAGTGGGATTTGTAGATAGGTAAGATATAATGATGCATAGATAAGAAAGGTAGATAGAACAGCTTTAATAACACCAAGAGTTAAGGAAAAGCCAAGCAAATGTTATGAAGGATATCTAGCCCAGTGTGACTGGTTATTAGAAGAACGGTGGGACATGGTGGAAAAGATAGGGTAAGGGTTCATAGTATTGGTCCTCTAACCTCTAATGCAGGGGGGTTCTTCTT